GCTGGCAGACCTTAGTATAGTACTGTGTAATCTGGAGAAAAGCTCTAAAGGCCTCTGGATTTGTTAACAGCTCTGCAAGGTATGCCAGGCCTTCGCTGCGGCTTGATGGTGGTGTAGGTGGTCGTAGTGGCCATTGGATAAAAGACCCTAGAGTCTTACGGCAGAGTACAAGGTGCTCTGGCGTCTTGTCGCACCCACACGAGCAGGTGAGCTTTGCGTTAGTGTGGTTAAGCCATCGATGGTACCAGGCAAAGTCTCCGTGCCTAGATCGGATAGAGAGGAGCTTGGCTAGGATAGCTCTTGGCAGGTCTAGTTCGGCTGAACTCCTGCGTGGTGCGTAGTCTAGCTTCCAGCCTTTGTACCACTTAGAGAGTGTTCTCCTCTTGTCTGACCACCATTTTTGTTGTGTGCTAATTAGGAGTTGTCGTGCGGTAGTTTTTATGCCTGAGAGTGTAGGCATTGCAGCTTTTCCAGTAGGGAGCGAGGGCTGGCTGGCTTCTAAGTTGGCTAGCTTGTCTGCCGCTTCGTTTCCTTCGATGTCAGAGTGCCCTGGCATCGAAGGAAACGAAGCGGCTCTCAACCTCACGACTGTACGCGCGCTTCAACAGCAAGAAGCAGCCAACATCAAGCGGCTGCAGCAGGTGGGATGACTGAGGTGGCATGCAGAGCGTGTAGATATTGTTCTCCTTGCAAAGCTCTTGAAACTTAAGAGAGTGGTGGCTCACGTGGCCATCAAGGACAAGCAGGTGGTGCGCACTAATAACGCGAGTCTTTGTGTGAGCGTTAAAGTGCTTCAGCCACTCTACGCCTAGCTTGTTATTTGTCTAGCTATTGTTGCTAACTGCAATTGCCCAGTTGCATGGGATATCCTCCTTGTACTAGGCAGAGAGGTGGTACTTGCTAGCAAAGATAAGGAATGGTGGGACTGACCAGCCAGCTGCGTTAATTGCAGCAATCAACGTCACCCACTCACGATTGCCTGGCTAGATAGCCTTTGGCCTGCCTCTCCTCTCTAACCCTGTTATAATAAGCTAAGTTGTGATCTTGCCTATTATAAAGCTAGCCTTGTTAAAGTTGTAGACGTTATTATTGCAGATGCTGTACTTAGCCTTTGTCTCCTCTACAAGCTTAAACTAGCTCCTAATTAGGGCTAGATCCTCACACTGGGCTCTCTGTCTATTGTACGCTCGATTGAAACGCGTCGTGAGACTGTCTGTACGCTTGACAAAGTTGCGTGGCCAGTGGACGCCTACCTGACCAGCGCCGCGCGCAGCCAGCAGCTTATCAGCCATATCACGTACAGCATTGTACGTAGGCGCAAATCCACGTGTATCCAAGTCGAGTATATGTCTGATAATCACCTGCTCCTCTAGCTTAGTGAGCTTCTTTGAGTTGGGCTGGCAATCGCGTTGGGCGCGCGTCCCAGCGCGTTGGCGTTGGAGGGTAGTTCAAGAGACTCTGTACGTATAGGCAGCAGATCTCTTAGTTGATATTTGGCGTTGATTAAGAGCTAAGATTGCGAGGTCTACACCAGCCTCATGAGAGCTGTTTTGGCTGTGGTAGGAGGGGGCTATGGTTGATTGAAGTATACACGTTGCGCAAAGTTAGTGGGGTGGCCTGCTTGCTTGTATGGCCCGCTCGCTTGTAAAACATTTTAGATAGCTGCAGCGCGTCGTACAGAGAGCTTCGCGTCTTGTTCAAGAGCTTGAAGCGCAAGCTAGACCTGACGCTCTTTTAACGCGTCAAATTGTGGTTGTTGTTGAGGCATTAGTAGAGTAAGGGTGTGTTGGTGGGGTCTTGGCAAAGGTGCGCCGCTCGCCCGTGTGCGCCGCTCGCCCGTGAGGTACGTTAACCAGACGCTCTGGAAAACCGCAACTTTTGCAAGGTTCATCAAGCAACGCAGGGCCCGTTTTTGGTACCGCATCATTATCTGGGACGGCGATGGAGCAGTTCGTGTAGGAAGTATGCTCTTGCTCACAGCACGGGGAAAAAGGGTACAAATTCCTACACTGGTGATGTCGTTTAGCTTCTTCAGTTGGGAACCTGGATAGCGTGTCTAGCCTCTGATTGATACTGGCACGTGACGGTCTGGGTTCGCGACGAACGTCGAAGGTGAGCTACCTGTGTAAAAGAAGAGCACTAATACTGAGGCAATGCGACTTGGATGTGATCGCTTCCTGAGAGTTTTGTTCAGGCTCGCCGCTGGGTTGGCTAACTGTTGATAAACCTGTGACGCCATGCCTGCGGCACCAAACCGAGAATGCGCATGGGCGCAGTTGCGTGCGTCTAAGGGCAGGCGCTATCTTAGTTTTGGGCGCCGGTGTTTGGCAGATCTCTTGAGCCGATGGGCAGTTGCCGATACTGTTCCAAGCCAACCTCCTCGCCTCGCCGCTGCTACTCAGTCCAAACCGTCACGTCTTAAGTCGCATGTTTCTCTTAAAATATTCGAGGTACGGGCGCCCGCGGCTATTCAAACGCGAGACGTTATCTTTACACTTGTCAGCGGATCCTTTGCACCTTTGCCAGGATGTCTGCACAGTCGCGGTCACAGATAATCCAATCTAGACCGATAGGTCCAGGGCTCGACAGCTTTCGCAACACTTTCAGTTCAGTTTGCGAAGATGGAGGCATTCTTATTTCTGCCCAGGTGCTGAATCAGCGAGGAAATGAAGGTAATGCGTGCTGGATACACTGACAAATTCCGCTGACGGGCACACCGAGACCCAGAATCTCTTAGTCGCTCTTATATCCGCTTTACAAACTTCTCCAGCTTCTCGTCTTCTGCCATCAAGCTATGGCGGCAAGAACCTCCTTGATGACTTGTCGAAACTCATGACAGCAGTCAACGCCGACGACTTTGATGCCGAACAATTGATCCCCCTTCTTCAAGCCGTTTTTCGCAAAGAGCCCGACGAAATTATCTGGAACAAGGTCTACGCCGCTGTTGCCGCGTCCACTCTGCCTCCCCGCCCCGCGTCGTCGGTCCAACCAACACCATGGCTGCGCAGCACAGGCAGCTTCGCAAACTCGACCGAGCACCGCAAGTACGTCGACAACGTGCTTAAGGAGGAGCTGGGGCATATGTACGTTGGCGTACCTGGTTTCTTCGACGCCTTCTTTGGGGAGGTCGCAGATCTTGGACCGGCAGCACAGGCCGTGTTCGACAAGTGCAAAGAGGGAGACACATCGCTCTACCAGGAGGAGGGTGGTTGGCAGGGCTGGCCTGAAGGGGCAAGGGAGGGGGAGCTGTTAAGCTGGTTCGAAGCGCTTACAGAGCAGCTCTCGGTCTTCGCAGAAGAGCATCGGCCGGGGCCCAGAGTTCGACGCAGAACCGTAGCACGACCCTACCAGCCCTTGCAGGGTTCCACGGCCGATCGCAAGCTGGACATTGGCTTTGTAGACGGCGAGAGCGCTGGCGTCAACTCCCAACATCACTGGTCACGCATCCTTGTGCCGGGAGAACTCAAGAGCAACGCGTTGGCTGACAAAGCGTCTAAGGCGTGGCTCGACTTGGGTCGGTATGCGAAGGAGGTGCTTGCCGCTCAAGATAGCCGCCGCTTTGTTCTTGGCTTCACGCTCTGCGGATCACTCATGCGACTGTGGAGCTTCGATCGACTGGGGGCCATCGCGTCCGAGCAGTTCGACATCAACGAAGACGGGCTGCAGTTCGTGTCTGCAGTGCTGGGGTTTCTCTGGATGAGCGAGGAGCAGCTGGGCTTTGATCCGACCATCATCACGGCCGGAGACAAGCGGTACATCGAGATCGAGCGGGACGATGGCAAAGAGCGCCTCGTCATCGACAAGGTGATAAAGCGAGTGGCTTGCGTCGCCGGTCGAGCAACGACTTGCTGGAGAGTGCATCGGGAAGACGAGCCCAACGCCCCGCTCGTAGTCAAAGACTCCTGGCAGTACCCGGAGCGCGAAGAAGAGGGCGAGCTGCTACGCGAAGCAACCGAGAAGGATGTGGTGAACGTTGCGAGGTACTTCCACCACGAGACGGTCCGTGTTGGTGGCCAAGACGACGACATCCGCACGAATGTACGCAGAGGCCTGGACATAACAAAAGCGGAGAACTACGCGCCAAGGAAGCAGATACCGCCACCGAGCACGACTGGGCGGCGGGCTTCACGAAGAGACGGAAGCAGCAGTCTCGCTGGGCGGAAGCGATCCTCGAGCTGTACGGACGCACCACTGCCACCTAGCAAGCGCGCTTACTCGGGCTCTCCGACGAAACCGGCCATTGCGAACCGCGTCCATCGCCGCGTCATCGTGCGTGACTACGGGAAGCCCATCTACAAAGCAAGCTCCCGGACCAGCCTACTTGCCGCACTGGAGGGCTGCATCGAGGGTTACGAGTCCCTACACACGCAGGCGGGCATGCTTCAACGCGACATCTCACCGAACAACCTGCTGGTGAATGAAGACGAGGACAACTCGTCGTGGTCCGCCTTTCTGATCGACCTCGACCTTGCAATCAAGGAGCAGCGCAAGCAAGCTTCAGGAGCGTGTGGGAAGACCGGCACGCGAGCTTTCATGGCCATTGGAGTGCTTTTAGATGACGAACAGCACTCGTTCATGCACGATCTTGAGTCATTCTTCTGGGTGCTCTTCTGGATCTGCATTCACTATGATGGGCCGGACAAAGATATCGGACCCACTGAGTTTGAGTGTTGGAATTACGAGAGCGATAAGAAGTTGGCAGGTTCTAAGAAGGGTGTGGTTGATGACGAGAGGGATTTTCTCAAAACCGCACGGACGAACTTTACGCCATACTACCAACCATTGATCCATTGTGTCAACAGGCTTCGAAGAAAAGTATTTCGCAACGGCGAGAGATGGAGGGATCCTAGCCCGCAGCTGTACCTTGATATGAAGGGGATCCTCCGCGCAGCCCAGAATGAGCTAGAAGAACCAGAAGGATGAAGCTGCATCAGTACTCTTGTAGTAGTGCGAAAGCTACGCAAGGGTTGGATATAAAGCGTGTGCTGATTCAGCTAGCATCTGGCTTGTCACTAAGCGTACAACGGAGCTCGAACGTCGAATTTTGGTGGATGCAGTTCATTCTTGATGACAAACGGCATCACGCTGCGCAGCCACAGCTGTGCATCGCCGCTCCGCCAAAAGCACATCAACCTAACTGCTTTCGCAGACTCGATGTGACGTGTACGGGTGGATGAAATTGGGGGAGTGCTGGTTACATACACACTTTCTAGGATCAAATTCCAAAACGCTTGCTCCTCAAAGATCAAGAGCAGCTCCTTAGGACTCGACTGCATCACCTAGGAAATTGTCACAGCAGCACATAACGTAGATTATCACCGAGCCGGCCATATCACCAAACCGGCCACTTTCTCTTGGCACAACCACCTTTTACCCCAACACAACATGCCTTAACAACAACAACTTTAGAATACTACTAGAGAAGGTAGAGTTATCCTTGCTATCTAGGCCTTCTACACTAGCCAATTTCGCAGTATCTGCAGCGCTGCTAGAGCGTTGAACGTACCTCATCAGCGGGTCTCTAATTGCCTTTGCAATATCACGTTTTAACTAGACGTAACGTAGATTATCACCAAGCCAGCCATATCACTGAACTAGCCATTTTCTCTTAGCACAACTAACACAAGTTACTATAACTACAACTACTTGCTATTAAACAGTGACCTAGCATACTGTATGCTTGCATTAGATTTAGAAGATGTTTCTGTACCCTCCTAGCATGTTTGTGCGTTGTGTCTAGTTTTGCTGCAGTTCCTACAGCGCTAAACAGTTAACTAAGCTCCTAGTTAACTACCTCCACCCTAAGTCTTCTTAGATGGCTAAGCTGCTACACACGCCTCAGCAGCTACCCGCGATGCTGCTGGGCCATACTCAAGTGTAGACTGGCGGATGGGTACCATGTACCTAGGGTAGGGTATAGGTAGGGTATAGGTCGCACGGACGTAGGTATAGGTAGGGTAGGGTCGCACGGACCATAGGTATAGGTAGGGTAGGGTTGCACGGACCATAGGTAGGGTAGGGTAGCACGTGACTGGGTATAGGTATAGGTAGGGTAGCACGTGCTAGGTATAG